GGGGGGGGGGGGGTTAAAATAGTTAGTAAAAACAATGCCAATATTCGCAAGCGTCTCCGAGTGTGCGAACGAGCACGGTTGCCAATCTAAACTCGGTAAAGCCACGACGGACAGAAGTTCTCGAGTGAAATTCATGTCACATCAAACGGTTTAGCGGCTCGCGCATGTCGTTCTTTCTTCTCTGTTTGTCATTCCTTTTTTTAAATCTTTTTGCAAGCTCAAAAGTGCCATTGCGCCTAGTGGCTAACCGGCTTAACAAGGAAGGCCGATAGTGACAATAAAAGTCAAAGTCAACGGCGAACCGGATATTCGAAACAAAGTAAATACGTCCATCGGTCATGTGTAATTTCGAATTTTCATTTGTACCAAAATGTTTTGTTTAATCATAAAAATATAGTTTTTCAAAAAATGATTAAATTTTTTTAGCACAAAAAAATTTTTCTCTGACGTCACGATTCTAGAAGACGAGCTATCTCGCTAATCTCAGTGCACAACGAGCGACCAATTCTCAAGGTAGGCATTACATGTGATAATACGAATCAAGATGAAGGCTCACTGAGACACGTTTCCGGGTTGCAGAGTCGCTGGTATCTGATATTCCGGATGTAGGACCCCAGTCCGATTGAATTCTTCCACCCTGGTAGGTTTCTCAGTTCCGAAGGGTCTAGGACTGCCGCGTCCCTGATTGGCCCAGAGGCCAGGAAGCGCAGCGACGGCGATGAGGCAAAGCACAGTGCCTGGAGACATCGCGATGACGTCGACGGCCACGACGAGCTCCGTCGTCCAGAGACGAAAGAGTTCCACTGTGCTGAACTGACTGACTGAACTAACCCCTCTTGAACGTCTTTGGCCCGTTTACTAACCGACCCTCCTCTCCCCCCGTCGCCCTCTGACCCCTCCCCACCAAACCACTCACTCTCAACATCCTCCCCTGGGTTCCTCGACTCCCTCTTCCCTGGCTATACTCATCTATACTTGCGTCTCGCGTATACTCCTGACATCACACTCCTCTCTCTCTCTCTCTTTCTCTCTCTCCCACTCCTCTCTCTAATCCTTCATCATATGATTTTACATACTCGCATCCGAAACAGCCTGAATCTTCGTTCTTAGAAATATCCCGTATCTTTTATCACCATTCGTTTCGATCTGAACTATAGTCAGTTTTCAAAAGAGCAAGTGACGTCATGTTCTATTTAAAAAAAATTATTAAAAAAATTTACACACCCTTTTACCACGCTTTGCAAAACACTACTCTTATGGGATTACAATGTTGGCATTCTTGGTGGAACAAGATCGATGGATCCTCTTATAGGATTACGAAGCGTGAACTCTTTGGCAGAAATAGCTGTCGTGAAACCGATACTAAACTCGTGCCGGCGTTCATCTGTAAATCACGTTTAAATGTCCGTAGGAATGTAAGCCGACTTTGTACCGGGCACCAAGAGGTGGACAATGTTGGATCTTTGACAGGGCGCTCGTTGTAAACCGTTCATTTTTACATACAACCCTCCCCTTCCCCTCGTATCACGTTCGCTCCATACGTGTCTTATTCTATGTTGAGTAAAGGGACGTTCGCAAGGGTAGAACTGTATTATCTTACGTACAGCCTAAGTAGGTATAGTTTGCTGGGATATCGCGAGACTCACGGCGTCCTAAGTAGTCAGTCGGCTTCGTAGTCAGCCGCTTGGCTACCCAAACGGCTGGTAAAAGAATCTGAAAATCATTTTTTTTTCTCTCAATCATACCGCAAGACTTTATTGAGAGATAATTAAGGAGCGATTTTATCAAATTGCGAAATATACATAAATACAGCTCACGTGATAAATACGTATAAATATAATACAAAAATTATTCGTATTATATTCTACTAAATTCGCCGTATATGGAATAGCGCTAATTAAACTGTCCAGTCAATAAAATAACATTCTACTTTATCGACACTACGTTATTGCCTTCATCTTTCAGGCGCAATCTTTTAATTGCAATTCCCTTAGCGATCGTCAATGAGTGTTGCGTTACTGAAAACGAGTCATTACCCCTTTTGCCAGTTTCTTCGATTGGTACAGATAACAGTTAAGAGTCGAGCAAGTAAAGTACAGTAAGTACACCGGGTGACCAAGAAGTTTCCGGTATCGAGGAAGAACCGTCTCCAGGCATTGGCTATACGAGAGGGAGACGGATAGAGAGAGAAACAGAGTGTGAGAGAGAGAGAGAGAGAGAGAGAGAGAGAGAGAGAGAGAGAAGGTTGAGGTTAAGCGAATGAAAGAGAAAGAGAGAGGGGACTCAGTAAGAAAAATGGCAAAGGAGAGAAGGGGTTTCAAAGTATGAGAAGGATACGGTATCATGTCCTGGACAGGATGATGACAGCAGGTCTGGCGGGTGGCAGGCCAATAAATCATGCCTCGCAGTGTGGGAACCTACTGTAGGTAGGCAAGGTCCTTACGCGGGGACCTATACGACTGCCAGGAGGAAGCACGAACGCACTCTAGGCAAAAAAGGCCTTTTTATACAGCGTCCAATGGAGAGGACACGGCTGTCGGGAAGGGTTAATGTGACACTCTTGACTGATGGCTGATACTAGAGAAATAACAGGTATACACTATATACAGTTAGCGCGAATGTACCCTAAGCAGACCCCCAACAGTACAGAAGGAATTTTTTCTTGGTAAGTGGGGTCGAGGGTGGGTCTTGAAATTGAAAGTAGTAAAAGAGGCTTCGAAGGGGTTGTTCTGGTAAGAAAAATAATAAAAAACGGAGTGGAGGTTTTAGGGGGTAGGAAGGTTCGTACGGTCGAATTTGAGGAATTCGGTTAAAAAAAATTGTAAATAAAAAATTTTTAGGCGGGGTGGTGTATTAACTCGAGGGTATCGAAGTTTATGTAAACGTACTGTAGGACGGAGCGAAAATTTCTCTCCATAATAAGGCGAACGCGGTTGCAGCGGCGGCATCAACGACGAGAATGGAGAATGAATAGTTAATAGGACACGTGCGCGATAAATTTCATTTCATACGTATACCGATAATGAGGAAAAAATTAATGAGAGTTATGTGGTATTATCTGCTATTAATGGAATATGAAAAATTTTAATAGTGCGCATAACAATTGGTATGTTGTATAACTTAAGATAAATCTCGTTCAATCGCTGCTTGTCATTTTGTTTATTAGCAGCTGTCGATCATGGATGTTATTGGAAGTAGGAATAGCGCATCGTCACAGGCAAAGATGGGACCGACGCGTTCCTATGTAAATGAGCGTGAACCATCATTTTTATGTATATTGTCTATCATAGCGAAACATATAGAGCTGGTCGAATGGGAGGGACGTAAGAAACCGCCATAACCTCAGGCTGCTCGTATATCAGCTCTTCGGGGCTTGAACATAAACTTCCTCCGGTGTGGCGAAACAATTTCGCGGAAAAAAAAAGGTTTGTTCGCAAGTCAAAATTCCTTGGGTCCCGGCTTACTGGGTTCCGAAGGGCGGTGGACCCTTTGCCGAACTAATCGGGGCCTGATACCTGGCCCGGCTAACTACAAAATTCCTTGCTTAAACTAGCTTGACTAACAAGCCAGTACAAAGTTGCCCAGGCGTAGGTACTCCGCATTGCGAGCCAAGGGTCTTTTTTTTTCGAAAGAGTTATATTATGGATTTCATGTGTTCACGTGTTCCGCGAGGATGGTGTGTCGGTAATGAGTTTTGGTAGGATTGGCAAGAACCCCCATGCTTTGACTTCCCATGAGAATCCGATCGATCGAACGATCTAATTCGAGACCTGTTCGAAAACTGCCCTGAACGTTCCGGGAATACTTTTGCATTGCGTGCCTAATTTCCCATGAAGCCCCCTGATCCCGCATATGCTTATAGTATTATAGAGAGTATAGTAGATATAATAGGTTGTGGAATATGAATAAGAAAAAAGAGAAGAAAGAGATTGGAATAAAAATAAAAAGAGAATTACCAAAAGAATACCCTTCCTATCAATCCCATAGTTGAATAGGATCTCCTATAGGGAACCATGTTAACCAGTTACTTAAGTATCTAGGAAAATTACCTACCCATTTTACAGATAAAAAATTATTTTTTTTTCCAAAAAAAAAGGATAACCCAAGAGAATTTATCAATATAATATATGATACATATGCAGCTTGGTTGACTGGTGTGAAACGGTCTACAGAAGGTAGCACCGGGTTAGCGATGGTCTGGGTCGACGTTGGCGATGATCTTGCTGGTGTTGGTGATGATGGTGTCGGGTAACGGAACTCGGTCGAATAGCGTTAACGTCGGCGAAGACCTACACGTAGCATTTTGATATTGAGCCGAGTCAGGCCGACACCTTGCAAGTGTTATGTCGTGTGTTAGCAATGGCGCGTTAGGTAAGCAAGATGAGTGGAAGTGGAGCTCGTTCACAGGGCGCTACTTGTTTTAAGTATATACACGGTTGCACCCTGGGCCAGGTCTGTTTGGGGTCCGATGGCTACTGTGTGTGCCCCATGGGTTGGGTACCGGTACCAGGAGCTGTACTTACGGGGCAGATCGTGTGTCGCGAGGGCAACCCGAGACCAAGACCAAGTCTCTTCTCTTCACTTGACTACTTCAGGAGGGGCCCTTTCGCGATTCCGATCTTCTCTCCGAACCCAATGTATTACTTATTTATTAGGAGCGTACGGGTGGTCCGCGACATGACGGAATCGATTACGCGGATTCGGCGAACCGGGCCCTTTCGAATTATGCCCGGCTACGATCACGGCTCCCTCCATACTCTCCGGCATCTTACTGCCCACCGTCAGCATCGCCGTGGCCAGATGAATCGCCGCCAGAAAGAGTATAGGAACGGTAACCAGCAGCAACAGCCACCACCCATTGGTACCCGGTACTACCCTACTACCAGGAGCTTCACCACCATCCTATAAGGTCCCGTGGCTTATTATGTAATCAGAATAACAATAATTGAGCCGAACACGACTGCTCATCAATCCGCGAGACAGCGGCCCGCGGCCTCCTTGCTTCTCCTCTTGGTATAGTCTAACCTGTCCAGTTGGTAGGTCTTATCGGATTTATTGGCAGCCCTTATTATCCGTCCGGTCCTCGGCCTTTTTTTACTAGCACATATTTCATGCTTTTATATCTTCGTATTTCCTTCATCTTGTCATCTAAAATTTAGCATTGATATCGTTAGGATAATTTCACACCTTTTGTCATTTATTAATTATTATACATACTTATTTTGTTTTTCCTTACGTTGGTACCTCTTACGGTATCGGTGATTCGCTTGTTGACTTACGGGAACCGACTGTAGCTAGCTCTGCCTATAGATTTCTAATGCATCACGAGACTGGTGTATGGTCACGTGCTTGAAGACGCCATCTTGAAAACATAACCTATGAGTTCCTGGAAGGTTCCGTTTGGTTTACTAGGAAGAACCTTGTCAAAGATTTGTAAGAAGTTGAATTATGGTTCGAGCCAGTATAATTATCCTTCTGTTAGGTCGGTACACGTGTAACCCTGTATGTATGTCCACATCGGGAAGACTTTTCCTTTTTGAGATAAGATATATCAATGAAAAAGAAGTCTTGCGGCCAAGCAAAGCAGCGCGCGCCACCATTTCTGTGACGTACCACTATCGCCATTGTATCTGATTCGGTGTCTGGCACTGATTTAAAGTGACTTTGTTGCAGGAACAAGATTTATGGTGGACCGAGTGGCAGCACTGATTATGCTCGAACGAACGTTGTTAGTGACTTTATCGAGAACCTTCCTCTACAGTAAGATTCAAAAATTTCAATTTACAGTATTCAAATATTTTTCTTTCAATTCTCCATAATCTTTACACAATGTACTTACCGCTCGTTATGT